GAGATGTTGGTAATTTGTTTGTAACAATGATTGATTTGCTCCATAAGTGAAAAACTGCTGTTTAAAATTGCAATTTTTACACTGACTCCAATTGTTCACATTAGAGCAAAATTCAAAATGCTGTCAAAAATTCAGTTTCTGAAATAAAATTCAGAAATTTGCCACACATCATCTACCATGACTCTAGAATTTTGTCTTTTTTTCATGAACATTGAAGATTTATTTAGCAAGAATTTGCATGTATATGTTTACAGTACCGTTTACAGTCAAACATTTTGATGCACTGTAGGCTCAGTTTTTGATAAATCAAAAATCTGAGAAACATAGTTTGTGTAGGACAGTCTGAAGATGCTTTGTAGCAAGTCTGGTGTCAATTGAGCAAAAATTGTGGGAGGAGATAGGTTTAAGAAGTTTTACAGTTTTTGAAAAAAACAGAGTGATGAACTTCATAATTTTTAATAGGTTTATGGATGGCTGTATGGTTGATTTGAATTTCCAAAGTTTTGAACTTTAGACGCTTGCTGTAGCGCCACCATCAGGACTATTGGCTTGAGTTTACAGCTGAGGATATCTGGCATGAGACTGGACCTTTGTGCAAAGTTTGGTGAGTTTTCACCCATGGGAAGTATGATTTCCTCGGAAGAAGAATGAAGAAGAAGAATACCTAGGATTACAATAGTGTAAAAAGTAACATCCCACAAAAAATGTATCCAGTGTCATACAAATCAAATCAAACTTTATTTATATAGCACCTTTCATACAATCAAGCAGCCCAAAGTGTTTCACAGAGCAGGAGTAAAACAGCACAGACAAAGTAACAATAGCTGCACATTACAACAATAAATGATAAAATATTTGAAATAAATAACATTTAATAAAACAAATTCATACAAAAACAAGTAGAAAATGTCAAAGACAAGACCTAAAAACAGAGGCAATAAATGACGAAGCACCATTAAGTTAAAGCCAAGCTAAAAGGATACGTCTTAAGGCTTCTTACATGAACAAACAAAAACCCCAGAACACTATAAATGGGAAAGTGCAGGAATGTTAACTTTGTTTTTGCATACAGTGTCCGTACGTCAGACACCTGTCTTCAGAAACTAAAGTCTAGGTGGAGGTATTATTGCACGAGGATTAGCATGCAAAAATTGTCTAACATTTGTCAATAAATGGCAGTAATCTACTTATAGCAGACTGTGGTCAAAGGAGCTTCAACGTGACAATAGAGAAGAAATGCAAAAAAGTCATTACTTTCATAAGTGACCTGCAATTGTTTGTAGTTTCTGTAGTTAACCACACAAAATATTATTTATTTATTTTTATCCCTATTTGTCACCACCAATGCAGCAACTACTTTCCTTGTGGTTCACATGAGCAAACATTACATTATAGTGCAAATATATAATTAAAAATCCAAAGCAAACACCCAAACCCAAAACACTATTGATGGTAAGAGTGCAGGAATGCCCACTTTGGTTTTGTATACAGTGTTCGTAAGACAGAAACCACCACCAGGATTTATTTAGTTAGTTAGTTAGTTGGATATCTCACTACAGAGGTAGCAACTACTCCTCCTGGGGTCCACACAAGCAGACAGTACATCATGGTGTAAAACAATTAAATAATTAAAATTCCAAGATAGAAAACAAGCAAAATACAATAAGAAAGCAGTAAAACGACAGCACAATGAAACTACTAATGGCAATAATTACAACAAAGACAACAAGTATCCTTGCTATGTGTAACTTGTCAGAAAAAATATAATAATTATTATTATAATTGCAACAATAATTATAATTTGACTGGACTACTTGAATCACTATGCAAATATGAATGTAGTTAAACCACCAGCAAGCTACTGCAACATATAGTTTCACTGCTAATTTCATTACATGTATTTCACTGCTCCCTGAACACTGTATATTATTATAATAAATGCATATACTATATAGGGCCTTTTTTTCCCCACTTCTAACTGTTATATAAAATCAGCTGCCAATTTGTGATGTGCACTGTAGCAGCTCTGCAATACAAGTTAATCTGATTAAGTTTAATGTTTATCTGAGGTGCTGATTCAAGCTGTAGTTTGAGGGGTGTTTCTATAGTTTAATATTCTGCAGGCCACATCCCTTTTATATTAATGAAGGTATAGATTAATCACTTTGTTCATCCCAAACTAAAGTGGCCTGTTAAAACAAAGCAGTGAGTCAACAGAGGTGAGAGGATCCGTGTAGTAGCTGCTCCAGTTGTGGTGAACCCGCTGTGGGGGCCGCTTGTTTGGATCTGCTCCTCCGTTTAACATGTCGGTGTGGAAGTGAAGCGGTTCCAGCGGTGCTCCGCTCTGATGCTGCCCGGGGGAAAGCTGGGGTCAGCGGGTTCACAGCTCCAGTCCTCTCGGTGTCCTTAAAGACGGGTCGTGTGACCCCGCCCCTGTGACGACACCGTGTCGTAGATATAAACCGTGTTCGTTTTCACTGGCTTCAATCTGGGTCAAGTTGTCAACAGTCAGTCAGCGTCAACCCGGAAGTACGGTACACTGCTTTTCAAAATAAAGGCTGACAAGAAATGTTAGGCTATGTAGGCCAATGTATTTGATCTGTTTTATGTACTTTAAGCATGTTTTGATATTTTTTAATTCACGTTTTGACACATATTTTATAGTTTTAATGTTGTTTTTAAGTCATGGTAGGTTAGTTTAGCTTTATGGGTTATGTAAGCTGTTTGGTCATGGCTTTTAAAAGTGTAATGTAAAATATAGTGTATGCATTCTCATCTCAAGCTCATTCAATGCCAAGACTAGCAGAACCATCCTTTTAACAAAGAAAACAAACATAAAACATACAAGAGTCAAGCAAAGCACATATTACGATTAATATCAGGTTGAAATATTACCCTTAAATCTATTCATTTTAAATTATTGCATTGTAAATTAGTGAAGACCTCACGGTTACAGACCTTTAAATTAACATTTATAATAACAGACTGAATCAGTTGTAGATCGTCAGAATCAGCTTTACTGGACAAGAAGGCCAATGTGCATGCTGGGATGTAGTGAACTACGTGTCATAAAACAAGTGGTTTAACTACATTTTGCAGAAGCTTGCCAATAGTTCAACTACATTCATATCTACATATTAGAGTTAGCCAAAGCTTCACGGCGTGGTCGTGAGGCCTCCTTGATTTAAAAAGGTCACATAAAACTTTTTATAAAGGTGGTAGGCCTGTATGTCAGCATTTCATTCGTTTCTATAAAGAAAACTAAATGAAATTGTTGTGTTTTAAGTTTGAATTATTATTAAAGATAGTATAATATCTCACAGGATAAGGGGGCACAGTGCAGACCTGAACACAAGCTGTGTTTGAGCCTTCAGTCTCTGCGAAATGGCCTCGGCTTGCATTAGAAAAGTGTGCAAATGAAACAAAAGAACTCAAAAAGCAACAGTCAAATATCTGTGAGATGAAAACACTGAATTTGTAAAATAAAACTAAAAATAAAACATGCAGTTTAGTGACATGTCGTCAGTTCACTCAATGAGAGAAAAGGTGTTTCTTAAGGAAAGCGGTTGGGAATAGGGTTGCAACGGTAAAAGATTTTCACGGCACGATAGCCATCTCAGAAAATATCGCAGTTTCTCTGTATCACGGTATCAGATTGACCCCTAAAGGAACGAAAACAGAAGGGTTATTTTATGTTGAACCACTGCCTTCTTCTGCTGCTTGTTCATCAACATGATGTCCGGCTGGTTAGCCATCATCACCAGTTTGACAGTCTGGATCTGGAAGTCCTACCGAATCTAAGCTCGGTCATTCTCCACCACTTGAGGAGGTGTCTTCCATTGTGACGCCCTCAGTGCAGATGCTCCTGTACACTATGCCAGCCACTTGGTTATGGCGTTCCATGTACGCTCTTCCTGCCTGCATCTTACACCCTGCTGTTATGTGCTGAACTGTCTCAGGGGCCTCTCTGCACAGCCTGCACCTGGGGTCCTGTCTGCTGTGGTCGACCCCTGCTTCTATTGATCTCATACTAAGTGTCTGTTCCTGTGCTGCCATGATTGGTGCGTCTGAGCTGTCTTTCAGTCCGGCCTTTTCCTGCCACTAGTCTTTAATCTGTCGGTGGTACATGCCGTGCAGGAGCTTGTCCTTGCATGGTGGTTCATCCTCCTCTCCTGCATTCTCGGGTTTCTGCTGCCTGAGGTTTTCACTTAGCAGCTCATCTTTGGGGGCCATCTTTTTGTCCTCAGCCCCCCCGTCTTGTTGATGCCAGAGGTCAGAGGAGAATGGCCAGACTGGTTCAAGATGATAGAAAGGCAACAGGAAGTCAAATAACCACTGGTTCCAACCAAGGTCTGTAGAAGACCATCTCTGAAGCAACAACACCTTGTCCAACCTTGAAGCAGATGGGCTACAGCAGCAGAAGACCACACCAGGTGCCACTCCTGTCAGCTAACAACAGGAAACTGAGGCTACAGTTCACACAGACTCTCCAAAACTGGACGATAGAAGATGTAAGCATGGATCCATCCTGCCTTGTATCAACGGTTCAGGCTGCTGCTGCTGGTGTAATGGTGTGGGGGAGATTTTCTTAGTACCAACTGAGCATGGTTTAAACACCACAGCCTACCTGAGTATTGTTGCTGACCGTGTCCATCCCTTTATGACCACAGTGTACCCATCTTCTCTCCCCCTCGACATTGGCAAGATTGACTCCCTTTCCACTTGTTTGAGAACACAGCTTTTCAAGCTGATTTAATGGTGACACCCAAATTGACAACGACGATTTTATACCTAATATTTATAATATTTATATTTATAAGTATGATTTTGTGCAGTCATTTTATTACCTTTTATTGTATATTACTGAATTGTTTGATTTTGTGATCTCTGGATACATTGCTGCTACACTCACCAGCCACTTTATTAGGTACACCGTGTGTGTGTGTGTGTGTGTGTGTGTGTGTGTGTAAAAGTAAGACAAAGTAAAATGTAGTTTATCAGGCCATTCTTATTGCAATGATGAAAAGATGGTGAGATGATGGTGAAGAAAAAGACTCCGCTGATACAGGCTTGTTTCAGACCAAAAGGACTTTTATTTAGCAAACCAAGATATCAGTTCAGATTTCTGCAGCAATCTGAGGAGAGATTCAGCCAATCTTCGAAACTCTCTCTCGTCTGTCCCCCCGAACTCCACGTTTTAAGGCCTGTAAGACATCATTTCTGATGGCATAATGAGAAACAGAGCCATCCTCCTGATCAAAAGTGGTCATTTCCTTCTCCAGTTTCAGAAGGTTATTTGTCCGTGCAAACAAATGAATGTATGCTTTCCTTTAATTTCTTTTTCTGGATGTAGATTTTACATGCGTAAACACGATATGGCCGTGGCGCCTTTCTGCTCCTCAGCAGGCCACTTATATATTGGGTCTATATATTATGAGGCCCAAACCCTTCAAAATGTTCCTTATTAGAAACAATTGCTATATGTATCCTATGGATGACCCCTTGTATCTGGGCAAACTAATGACTTCCTGATTGCATCTGTAGAGCTGTATGCTCTATAATACTTAATAAAATCAGTCTTATTGCTATCAGTCATATTGTAATATTCTATAATAATAATATCGGTCTACAATTCATATTCTGCACCGTGTTCCTCATCGCGACCTTTATTTTGAAATCCCGGGCCAGAAGTGTGCCTCGCTAATCTCTCGAGAGTGACAGTCCGTCTACGGGATTATTCGTGAACTCAAGTGCCCCCCAATCCGCCGATGAGAGCTGCAACTGTTTTTACAGCTGACACATTTCCCTTTTCGATCAGGTCAGTCACTCACAACTGCTTTCTGTAGCTTTACGGTCCGCTGGAGCCAAACATATGTAGCTAACCACTGCGGAAACAACAACCACAACACTGGTACACAACAACAACAACAACAAAGAGCGCCCAAAGCCTGCGCAACACATCCAGTCGCGCGGATCCACGCCCTCCATCTCACTCTGTGGCTCTGTCTTCTTCATGCCCCCCCATGAAAAGTGTCTGAAAGCCGCGGAGCCGGTGGGGAAAGTGTTTGTGGTGGCTTTGCCCTGCGGACGACACCATGTCAGGCACAGAGGGGGTCTGCTCCACGAGCCTGTGAAACTTTATTAATAAAGGAATTAGCTTCAGGGGGAGAGAGATGAGCGCTTTCATTCTCCCACCCTCTCATCTCCAAAACGGTAGGCTTCTGCTCCAATGGAGAGGAGGGAGAGACAGGAGGAGGAGGAGGAGGTGGTGAAGGAGGCGAGGGGGGTGTTGAACAGTCCTACAACCATCTTTTCTGTCCCGTTTATCCGCCATACAGGCCAGCTCGGTACTACTGTAAACTAACTTCCTGCATGTGGCCGTAGGTGAAACGGGATTTTCTGGCTGAGCGGTCGCTGCTGTCCATGCGGGCTCCACTCATGTCTGTGGATGGTGCGTAATCATATCATCTGGAGAGGCCGAGGCCGACATTTTACCCCGGTCCGGAGGAGCCTTAACTCCGAGGGGACATCCGAGGACACGCGATAAGGTAAAGCCCATCTCGCAGCTTTGCGCCTATACACACACACAAACGCGCGTTTGCATTAAGTTTAGCGGCTGAGAAGTTACTGACAGATATTCACAGCATGGAGAGGAAAAATATCTGGAGGCTTTTTAACGGTCTTGTGTGATAAAAATGGCTACTTTCACATGGATTTACATACAGTAGCATGCATGGCACACTTGGGAGTATTTTAAATGCACCATATGGTTAGGATAAAAGGAAATATGATGCCAGGACGCATTATTTAATCTGTAATATATTTATATTTTAAATAAGGTGCTTAATTGCGCACACACAACCCAATTTAACGATGCATTTATACTTATATTACATTTCTGCACCCATTTGCCGTATTTGTGCGCGCACACGGGGAGATAAATGTGCTCCCCGCGTGTTATTTTCTTCGCAAACTTGCAGTTTTGTGGCAATAAAGCCACATTTTGCCACCGAGGATAACTTGCCTGGGCCTGTAACATTAACCACCACCGATCGGCAGCAGCACCTGCAGGTGGACAAACAGCAGCCAAACTTGTTCAGTGATTTATTCCTCGCGTCAACTTTAATATTTAACGAAAGTCCGAGGCTGTGTGGGCAGAAAACAGACTTTTACCTGCGTGTAGCTGGAGCCCGTGAAGCGCTGAAGCCGATCCACATGCTCAGAAATCGGCCGTATTAACAATTAATATTGGACATCCGGTGGCACTGCCAGCTGCGCCCCATTTTTATTGTTGTCTTGCGCTGAAAGGATCCCTGTTGTCTCGGCTGGATACTCCGCGACGCGTGGTGGCTGCTTTTGGTAGGAATTTAAGCTTTGTTTTTCCCCAAATAAAAATGCACAGATTGTGAATTTGCAGGGTGAAATAGAAAAGGAGGGTCTGGATGTGGAAGTGCGGCTCCTCGGCTCGCCGTGCCATGCGGGACACACTGCTGGCTGCCACCATGGCACCTTCTCTTCCCTGCTCTGGCTCTGTATGTGCTGCTGTTGTTCCATCCAGCTGTGCGGACACACAGCACCGTCATGCCCCATCACTTGTGTTGCACTGATCGCTCCATCGGCAGGTTTGTTAGGTGTTTTTTTTTTTTTTTTCGGGGAGAGCGGGACGCGCACCGGATGGACAGGGGAGCGAGGCGAGGCGAGGGGCGGCAGACGGGGCCACTTTGGCTTTGCCTTCGTTACGGGAAAACGGAGCTCCAAGGACACGGAGAGGAGAGACAGGGGGCGCATCCAGGTCGTTTGGGGTGATTGTTTTTTTTTTTTCTTTGCTGTGATTGAAGTTTATTGTATTTAATTAGAGGAGAAGGGGAGATTTCCCAGGCGAGACGGAGCTTTGTCCGCCGCCCAGATTTTTGGAGCTTTAATTTGGCAAATTGGCCTCCCAGACAGACCGACAGCCTGACCGTCTCTCCTCCCCTGCTCTCCCGTCTCCTCCTCGCTGTTTTCGGGCACACTCTCCGCCATCACAGCCTCTTTATGGACTCCTGCCTAATTTACTTTTTTTCACAACCCCCGTTCTCGTATCTCCGTGCGTAACCTCCATCCATCCGTTACCGTGCTGTCCTCTATCATACTGGAGGGTTTTTTGTTTTTTTCTAAAGAGGCCTCCAGCTGTTAAAGGTTCATTGTCTGGTCAGACTGCTCATGCTCTAAATTTGTCTCATGGTCCTCAGTCAGCATGACTTGCTTTTACTCTCAGATGTGTTTGCCACATGTTTGGAGAAGGAGAATTGTGCGTTATAATCAACTATAGTTATTCTATGCTGCATTGATTTTAAAAGTTACTCTATAAAACAAGTTTGTTTAAGTGCTGACACCATATGGAATAGGAACACCCTTAAAGCACCAAAAGTTCATTAGAAACAGCTCCTTAAAAGTCCTAAATTAAAAGAGAAGTCATTAAATAGTCTTAAATTTGAATTTGTAAGATTTTAATTGCCATAAATATTTTGCTTATTTAATGTATGCATCTTATAATTTCTTTATGTCAAATGAGTCAAGCTCTTCTGCGTGAAAGTCCAAATATTTGATGTTACAAATCTTTAAACCTACCACTGAACCTCATGCTGTCTTTTTACACTTTTGCACTTACATGTTTTGCAAAATTTACATTAATCTAACCATTTTCCTAAATAAAATCTTCCTCTGCACAGGTGCACATATATACTGCTTACTTTTCTACTTACCTGCAAGCTCAATCTGAAATTTGATTCTTGAAAAGGTCTTAAAAAGCTTTAAATTTAAGTGTCTGATACCTGTGGACGCCCTGAGAAAAATAACCTCATCAGAGTATTTATGATAAAGAATAATAACTTTTGTATACCTCTGACCCCTTATAGAAATAATGCATGACAAAAAATACCATAACAGAGTCATATTTTTGCCACAAACACATTTTAATATAAGAGAGCCCAAACAATTAGTTAATCAATTAGTTTATTGACAGAAAATGAAATTGCAACTATTTATATCATTCGTCTAAGTCATTTTTCTAGCAATAATAATAAGCAGGTCCTCGTTCCAGCTTCTCAATTGTGCTTTCTTTGTCTTGCGTGATAATAAACTGAATATATTTAGATTTTAGACAAACAAGCAATTTAAAGATGTCACCTTGGACTATCGGAAATTGCGACAGCCTTAATGATTAAACAGTTAATTGATCGGTTGAGAAAATAAACGCCAGATTCCTCTATAGTAAAATAATCATCGGTTGCAGCCCTAGAATATATCAGTGTTTTGGTTTTATGGCATGACACACAGTCATTTGAATACGCTGCCCTGTGTTACATAAGCTGTTGCAAGGATATGGGGTCATTTTTATTTAGCATTTTTCCATGCCCACACAGTGTTCAGGGTAATTGCTCTGGTGCATTCATGATACACTAATACAGGGGTCAGTTGTAAGTCTGAATGTGGCTGAAAATGAGAAGAAGTTGTTGCGAGGTTTAGAGGGCATTCAGATGTGCATTGCTTTATATAAGTAAAAGTGACTTCTGTGGTGCACACACAGCCCCACATGAACCATAATCTCACCACGCTGCAGATGCAAGCGTACGTGTTTGTTTTGTCAGTATGTATTTGGCGTAAGTGTTACATAAGCTGCAGTTGTAGTCTTGTTTACAAAGGGCTAAATGGATCGCTGTCTGAACGTAAAGCCAATGGTTATCGGTGGTTATTGACCCACAGTAGTGTGAGATGAAGCAATTTCCTTTTGTTTCCCCTGTTGCCTTACAGTGAACTCTGCCTGTGTGTGTTTATGAGCACGGAGACCTTTGGACCAAGCCTATGTCGAACCAACACACAATAAATGATTGCAGGACTGTTATTGCACAAAGGCACGCCTGGCTCCTATATCAGCCCGACTATGAACAAATATAAATAAGAATCTGTTTGTGTGCATCAGTTTTGCCGTGTAAATTTACCTTGTACAAACAGCAAATGCCTGGAGGAGCACTGTAAAGGAGATTAGAGGAGAGGGCGGAGGGTGCATTACTCAGATAAATGAGTTTGCATGTATGTGATGTTCTTCTTTACACTAAGGGACGCATGAAATAGGCTAGTTGGACAAATGTGGCTCCCTCTCTGACAGAATGATGGCTGATAAGATGAGATAACTTAAGATAAGGTAAGATGAGGCTTTATTGATCCCCAGTGGGGAAATTCAGGTGCCGCAGCAGCACATAAGTATGGATATAGAGTGAGAAGTAAAAAGTATATAAAACAAAGACAAGAATAGAAATAAAAAGTATAGACTGAATCACTGTGATGTCAAGCTAACAGCAATAATCACTTCTGGTAGACAACTGGCAAACGATTAGAATTTTGGAGATAAGAGAACCTGGCAAACTTGATTATTTCTGTTGACGTTTTCAGCCGTGACTGTGACATTTAAAGATATGTAGTTAGAGTGGTTTGATCTGTCCTACATTTCTATTTAATGCATGGTGTTGCTTTGCCAGAGTCTTAGATAAACCAAAGTTACAGGCAAGGAAGCTAAGCAATGTGCTGCGGAGGATGAGGGCCACATAGAACATATCTTAGCCACCGAAAAAAATCAGTGTACGGTATATTTTCTCCACTTTACCTTACGCATGAAGTGGTCGAGCCAGCGGTAGACCCGCAGCTCCCTTGTTCTGCCAAGTAAAATTACTGTTTGTGTCACTGGAGTCTGGTGACTTTGAGATAATGGCTTCAGTCTCATGTCGGAAATCGCAACCTGACAGCATGGTAAAGTGGTGAAATTATTCTAAATATAGTGTACACTTAAACTGATGCTGATTATTTTATCAGTGTTTGCTCAGCGCTGTTTCACTTCGTGTACGTGACGTGGAGGTTTTCTACCCAGAAGTTGTTGTAAGCAAACACTGGGAATTAAACTCAAAATTACAAGGCAAGCATTTTACCAACAGTACCAGCGGTGTAGCTAAAGGTTCCGTACGTGACATTCAGAGCGTTAATATAGCAGCAAACAAGTATTTGCTTTGTAAAGTTATAGTGATGTAATGGCGTCCTGAGCAGAGAATGATGCCAGCTTCTGTGTTTTTGTTGTTGCAAATGGTCCGGCCTTGTGTGCATGTTAGTGCATGTGAGTCCTGGGTGTGTATCGCACTAGCTAGCTAATCACCACTGGTCAGCACGGTGCTGATATGGTGCTTACTGCTCATATTGGGATGGCATTGTTGTGGAGGCCTAGTGCCCACCTCCAGTTTACCTCTCTTCTGTCATTGTTGGCAGTGTTCATGCCGTTAGCACCGTTAGCTGCTAGCCTCTGGCTCAGCTACCTCCATGTTGAGAGCCGTGTGCAGACAACCTTTGAATCCAAAGCCCCTTTGACGCTGCCTTAATTTCGTGTTGTGCCTTTTAGCCGACAGTGGAGGTAGTAACAGCTCCGAATTGACGTCTTTGTAAAAGCGACAGCTAGCAGGACGGGATGGGTGGTATGTGTGCAACCCACCTCCGCAAGCAGCAGTTAGCAGCTAACTCGAGGAAGAAAAGTGGATAAAAATTTGGGAAACAATGAGGTCAGGGAGCTCCTAACCCTCTGAGTAGAAGACAACACTTACCACCATATAACAGGGACAGTAAGAGATTGTTATTGCACTGTTACAGTTTACAAAGATCTGCCCAACGTGTTTGTTATATGTCAGTGGTTCCCAGCTTGTACAGCCATGTGGTCCAAATTTCTCCTCGGTCATTAGTTCAATGTCCAGTTTATTATATTCAGCGTCATACTTGTGTTTGGCCATGTTGTCAAGCTAGTCTGCTGTCTCTGTCAAGTCTGTTAGTCACTCACTCTACCCACTTTTGGACCGCGACCCACCAGCTGGGAATCATTGCTATATGTCATACTGGAGGCAGTTCCTCTTGTTCTGTATAAAAAAAGCAAAGCTGGCCTAATAGAGGGTTTCGTTGCGGCCCTGTCATGGGATTGTGTGTAAAAGAGCTATAGATACTCTCTGAATATTGTATAGAGCTCATGAGAACTAGTGCAATACAAGTGAAGTGACTTAATGATGGGATTAGTAGCTGTAGAGAGAGTAATATATGATTATATACTTAAACATATACTTGAAAAATGATAAAGTAATGATACTGAGTGTTTGTATTAACACAGAAATATAGTAGTTAATGTGATAAAACAGTATTGCATATTAACTCAATATGCAATACTGTTTTATCACAGTATTGCATATTAACTCAATATAGTATGGGATATGAAATAAAATATAAGGTGAAAGAATAGCAGCATAGCATAGAATATAATTGTAATCTGGTATAGTGTGAGTATACCAGTCATGATCAGCACCTCAACGAGTTGCACTGTTAATAAAAGCAAACTACTGACATAAGATGTACATAGTCTTAATCCTTGTGTAAACCCCCAGTGTTTTGTATCTCAAATACTCCTGCTCTTTGCACTACTGCTGAAACTTCATGATAAAGATGCAAATGTAAACTCGCAGCTCGCTGGGATTATTACATTCGTTCCACCAGTTTGTTATCGTCTTCAAAACGCTGTATGTGTCTGACAAGTGTCAGCTGGCTTGCTCTGTGTGCCAAATACCAGTTTTCCATGTGGCATGCCAAAGGCAGTGTCATAACCGCCCAGCCAGTCCTCATTTCCTCATTCTTGTGTGCCTGGGGTCAATCCAGAGAACGCATTATGGCATTGTTCTCGAATCACTGAACCCGGGTCAGTTTGAGCTGCTTTCTTCTGGTTTTCTACAGGTACTGAACAGTAGGTCTGCATTGTTCTTGGTGTGTGTGTGTGGCTGTGTGTGTGGCTGTGTGTGTGGCTGTGTGTGTGGTTGTGTGTGTGGTTGTGTGTGGTTGTGGTTGTGTGTGTGTGTGTGTGTGTGCGTGTGCGTGCTAGTGTTGCTCACTGTTTCATCATGTCCCCCGTCTGAAAGGAGCTCGGTCTGCTCAGGAGTTTGCACTGTGGCCTCCTCTCTAATGGAGAATTGGAGTTTTGGTTACACAAACATTAACTGATGCGGAGAGCGGCTCCGCAGGCAGGAAGGTTCTCATTGGTGGAGTTTAACCGTATTGGGTGGAGTCAGAGAAGCAGCTTTTTAGAGGGCAAGTTAGCTCGGTTGCAGGCTGGCGATATTCTGTGTTTTTCTTCCACAAGAAATTCCATGAAAAGACCAAAACCAACAATGACTCGATCCTAATATCTATCCAAATATCTTTGTCCTCTGTGCCATGGAGCTTCACTGTTGTCCAAAACTATTAAAAACACATTGGTGAGCCACAGCGTTTCGCTGGGGGAATTGTTCCTTCATTACCATGAACACACACACTGTAGTTTATTTTCACTCAGTCCCACATTCGCCGTCCTGCTGCCCCAGATTCCTACCAGAGAACCAAATGTGGATTAATCCGCTGCTGAAAATAGTCCCAAAGAAATGCACCATTTCCTCCTGTTTGAGTCACTAAAAACAAACACTGCCCAGCTTTTTGAGAGTATTACTGAGCTTTTCTTTAAATATAGTTGTGACTTAAGGATTTAAAGGAGACCTGTAGCTTCATGTAGCAGTGAACTTGCAACTGGGGAAACGCCTGTAACGGAGTACAGCGGCACTTTCTACTAGAGATAAAATGGTTACCAGTTTCACAATTAACCACAATAGAATTCCAGATGGTTAGTATTACTGTTTAAAATCTTAATGATCATTAAAAGCGTGTTTGATTACCACGATTTGAAACATTGCAGCATGCAAGATGGGTCTATGTTGTCAGTGACGTACTGAAGCTTTCAGTGTTACTTTCTCTTGTTGTTATGCTGCTGTATGCATTACATCTTTTGCGATAACATCTTATGTAAATCACCCAACCCACAAATTATTTTCATTTATAATCCAGCAGTTGGATTTTGATGTTATGTTGTTATCATACAACTTGGTGAAATGATTTCAATATGTTTCAGTACTTTTTGAACATTTTCAGTACATTTTAACAATCCTGTGATTCGGGAGGAAAGACGAAGACAAATATGAAAACAGATTTGAGCTAAACATTTCTCAGAGGCACAAATTCGGGCTGCATGATGTTGGATTTTTTGCCAATACCAGATATGCCGATATATAACAATTTGTGTGGCCGACAATTGTTATTGATATTGATATTTTAACTTTTTCTCCTCACCTAAATTTAATAATCATCAAGTCTCTTCTGTAGTGGAATTGAGATCATATTATGCATGCATACTCTTCTCGTGACGGCCCACCAGCAGATGGAAACATGAAATACAAAACTTTTCAACGTATGTAATATATTGGCAGATGCCGATGACGCACTGATATTATCGTGCATCCCTATCTGCAATAATACAGATAAACGTGTTAATTTTGGTCACTATAATTGTGAAATAATTTTTTATACCCTTTCATCTTTACTTTCTACTGAAAAAAATCAGAAACAAAATCTTCTAAACCAAAATCTGTCAATATGATCTGAAATTAGGCAGAAATTAAGGACATCGGCAATCAAATTACATGTCTCCCTGACGTTAGCATGCAGCTAAATGTAGCAGTGTATGTAATGTACACTAGCAGTAGCATGCATGGAGCAGATGACATCAGCTTGTAGCCAAAGTAGAAAAAACATTCTTTGTCCAAGCAGCGCTCGAACATGATTGCAAAATTTAGTTGGCACTGAGTTTGAGAGAGAGGCTGAATAACTGGGAGATAAGTAACCACTGTAATATTGTCACTGGCCTCTATGCTGATTTCTGCCGTTTGCTAACCTGTTTTCGGGCTCCTCTGTGATGTGGAACGTGACACACCAGAAACAAAATACCAAAAGGCATACTTGTCTGCTGTAGAGCCGTGTAGGCCTGCACAGCTCTGGTCTACTGGCAATGAGAAAGCCGCCTTTTGCCTATTTTTAACAGGCTTTCTCACTTTTAAAAAACCTGCATACGCGTGCTAATTTTGGTGGTAAAGGGGTGTAAGAAGTCGATAAAATAAAACTGTAGCAAACAAGGAACTTCTCTTTTTGTTAGTTCATTCACAACAGTGGCAGTCATGATACAGTGTCATACTGCTAAATCCAGCTCAGCTAACCTAGCTAGCTTGGCATGTTTTGCAGTTAGCTGAAGGATCGCTAATGCTTAGAGAATATTAGCTTCCTCCTTGTTGCTCCTTTACCCCTTTTTATCAGTCACAAATGTGGCGTTTTAATTCTCCAATTGAGGTTTAAGTCAACCAGCGAGATGATTTTTGCAATATCGGCTTATCATTGGTATCGGCAGATATTGGCTTCTTATTTTGATCAATGAATGAATATTGCATACATTGAAAAGTACTGGTGGGCATCACGAGAAGAGTACTCATGCATAATATGATGTTAACTCCAACACAGAAGAGACTTGATGATCACTAAAATTAGATGGGGACAAAAGTGGATATATATCGATATCGGCATCAGTTATCGGCCAAATTAGCTCTCATATGTCAGTATATCCGGTATCGGCAAAAAGTCCAATATCATGCATCCCTAATTTTTGCCTCAGAGAAATGTTTAGCTCAAATCTGTTTTCATCTTTGTCCTTATCTTTATAAACTCACTCACTCGTTGAGCCTTTATTTCCACAGCCTTTAATTTTTAACAAATTAACACCAAAGTTGGTCTTTGATGCATCTTGTGATAGTAACAACACAGTGCTGAAATGACTAATGCTGGTTTGTAATTATCCACATATTCCTCTACAAATGTGACATGAATACTTTGCTCACTCTACACAGTGAAACTCAACCTTTATCTGGTGCATAAAAGCTCCTGCGTTTGCTATTTTAAATGCTCATTGTTGGCAGGTCTTTCTCAGGAAATGATTTGTCCTACATTTCTGTCAGTGGCAGCAGCAGCGTGTTTTTTTCATGTTGCATAAATAGGTGTATTAATAGAAAAAGTAGCCGGCCAAATAAGCAACAATAGCCACCATGGCTGAAGAGACAGAAGAGAGCTCCAACTGCTTTAATGCTTAACATCACAAACACAGAATACAAGAGAAAAAAACCCACATCACAGTAAACAAACTAAATAAAGCAAAGTCTTACAGATTGCTTCTGTGAAAAGTTTCCTGCCGAAAGGTTTAAAAAATGTGTGTTATTATAAAGAAGACACATTTATATCTTGTATTTTATCTTCTCCTGTCATCTCTCCTTATTGTGCCGATCAAACAAAGTGAATTCAGCGACAGCGCACGAACATGTGCTGCATCTCATCACCAAAACAATATAACTGTCCACGTCTCAAGCTCTAACTGAAACTGGAGTCTCTGCGCAGATACATCCTCACACATCTCTGCGTTTTAACGAGGTGTTTACTCCACTGTGTTATTGCTATATAATTTGCATCGTGGCCTCTGCTGAACCCAACTCTGATTTCCTCCTTCCCTACTTCTCTTTACTCTAGGCTGGGAGGCTGAGAGCTGCAGGGCTGCGACATGTGAAAGGAGCTCCACCCCTTGACCCTCTCAACTCTCAACCTTCGGTAAATTACATCATCTCCTTCTCTTCCTCTTTGTTCCGTCTTTGTAATGAATTCTGTGCTGCGTTCTCAATCACAGACTTTGTCTTTTTACTTTCAGCACGCACTGCAGCCGTGCTTACAAAGTGCAGACTGTTGCATGGAGTATGCACACAGTTGGGATTTACTACTTCACCATAACATTGTGCCTTGAACTTTAAACCTCTTTTAACATTTGAAGTACAAAGAAAAATATGTTTTTTGAATTGCAGTAGATCTTAAAGGGACAGTTCCGAATTTTTTAAGTGGGGTTGTTTGGGTTACTCATCCATAGTCAGTGTTTTACATGCAGTAGATGTCGGTCGGCACGCCTTCAGTTTGGAGAAGCAGGTTGGAGTCCAACATAGAAGATAAGCAATCTATTGCTGTGGAGGGGCCAGCAACAAAACATATTTTAGCCACCTAAAAAAAATCAACATCACTTGAAGTTTATGCTGTATTGAGAGTATTTTCACCACTTTACTTTAATGTCAGACAGTGATTTCTAACGGGAGAATGAAGCAATGATATTGCTGTCTCTTCAATGCCAGACTCCATTGAGAAAAACAGTGATTTAACATTGCTGAACACAGGAGCTGCTGGTCTACTGCTGCCTGGATCAGTTAATTTGTTTGTGTTATTGTGTGACTTTGGTGTTTAAAGGGTTAGTTCGGATTTATCATAGTCACAAAAATAACACAAACTAACCAGCACATTGAAGTAGCGGTAGATCTGCAGCTCCTGTGTTCAGCAAGCTAAAATTACTGTTTTTCTCAATGGAGTCTGGTGGCTTTGACAAGGGCATTGATGGGGTACTGAAGCTGTTAACGACTTCCCAGTTACAATGGTCTGAGGGAAAGGTAAACCAGTGAAATGACTCTCAATATAGCATACACCAAAACTGATACAGATTTTTTCCAGGTGGCTAAAATATGCTTCGTCGCCTGCTTCTCCAAACTGGAGGCGTGCCGACTGACATCTACTGTATGTAATACACCGACTATGGATAAGCAACCCCTACAACCCCAATTCGAAAAATCCCTTTAAAAGTGTACTATGCAGGAATTGTGGGCCTCTGTTTGGTAACAGTATCGTCAGTGAAAGTGAAACTGAAAGCCAACCTCAGATTCACTCCGCTTGGCATTCTGACTTGTTATATTTGCTTTATTTTGGTGCTTTGTCTGCGATTGTTGGAGCTTCCTCTTGGACATGTGCTGCATTGGATCTGGCACCTGGTCACTACCTTTTAAGTTTTAAATATAATATGCAAAGATATTTGTACATATATTTATTATTTTGACAGATTGCAAGTCAAAACTTCAGTGTGAATGGTAATTTCTGCATTTTATTGTCACAGAAAGAAATATACAAATCATGATCATGTGATTTTTGCTGGTGTCTGTACCACATAAGCGTGCTCCCTTATGTCTGGAATATGATTTGTAGGCCAGGGCATCTCTGTAGCACCACAAAGCTTCATTTATTTGGATATGTTGTGACACATTTTAGCTTTATCGAAAAACTTCAGCTCCTGTGATTTGGATATTGCACTTGGTCGTATTAGGATTTCGATAATGCTTTGATTAACTATGAAGCCCGACCGAAAAGGAATTCACACACATCTCATAGTTATGTCAACCCTCATTTTAATTCACATATATAAGAGTTTTGAAATAACTGAAAATAAAGAAGATGATGCAGAAGGCAGGATTTGTTCTGTGATTAGAATAATATCAAAGATGCCGTAGGACATCCTGGTGCTTCTGACACACTGTATTTGGGACATACTAAATCTTTTTGTGGCATACAACACAGTAGGGTGATGCTAATATTGGAACGCACCGCTTCTTCTCCTTTCCTGTCTCCTCCTTGATGTCTCAAATCTGAACTTGGTTTGTGTTTTTGCAGCAGAACTCACTTGAACCGACGTTGTGACCGCGACCTGACACCCTCCTGCCTCGGGCATGCCTCAGGTAAAGTAGGAACACCCACTGAAACCTGCCATCATTCTCACCCGTCACCTCTGGATGAACCTCCTCGTGGTCTTCCTGTTGGATTTCTGTCTCACTCTGTGTGTGTTGTGTGTGTGTTTGTTTCCTCCCTCGCAGCCGGGTATGAATGGGATGGAGCCTGCGTTTGGCGAGGCCTATGGGGGACACAGGGGTCTGCTGAGCCCCTACCCTCTGGCCATGTCGCCACAGGGGGGCAGGACTGAGTACGACCAGGTAAGACGTCAGCAAAGTACGGCTCTTAGTTTTTTTTGGTTTTATTTTTTAATTCTATCTGTCCAGCAAAGTCCTGCATTGGAATGAGTACTCAGTGGGTGACCCGCAAAAAAAGGTGTGGGTGGTAATTCATCTTAATTTTATTTCCGGGTTCAGTTCTGGGTCAAAAAAGAGCATGTAGGTAAGATTGCAGAGGGTTGTATGATAAGTATATTCTTAAAAAAATAATGTTTTGTTTCTCTGACTGATGACTTTGTGCATCATCTCTGTCTTCTGCGCCAAATGAATACAAGAGCTGCTTCAATCAGGTGTGTTACTAACGTTAATTGTGGAGATGTCCTGCTCTTGAAGTACCTTCATTTTAAAAAATAATAACTTTGTTTCATGTGGATGAAATGTCTCAAAAATGATCATGTAAAACATGCTGCCTAACCAAATTATTTGAACAGCGCATTCATGATTATTATAGGGTTTGTGGTTTTGGGTCAGGCCAGGAATCAGGAGCGGGTCTTGAAAGTCAAACCTGTGCAGGATGTGTTCCCCAGTATGCCTCAGCCCTTAAGAGTCCTCGTTCAACCCCAGAGTTCACACACATCCTGTGGAAAATTTGAGTTTCTGTCATGATTTTACGATGATTTTTTAAAGTTCTTTAGTTTTGGCCAGTGTCCTGCCTTACCTTGACACACCCTTAGATTTCAGCAAACGATACCTCGAAAGTCAGTGAAGTGTGAAATTAGGTCCAGTAGATGTTTCTACTACGAATTTCAGTCAGTTGCATCCACCTGGCATCTCAGGTGTGACTCAGTCTGTGAAGGCCATGAGGGAGAAAACAGCCAACTAAACTCCATTCTGATGGGATTGGGCCCATTTTGATAAAGGCCTTTTTGTTTAAGTCGGAAAGGCGCGGGTGTTACTCATAACATCAGCTGAGCATGGCTCAAGTCTGTTCAGGTCTCTCAGTGAGCCAGGACTCTGACACCAAAGCAGGTAAATGGGGTTCAGCATTCATTCATTTTATTATTTACACCTGTGCTTCCTCTACTGTGACATGTTGAAATGTCTCCAATGGTCTGTTTGAGTTGAAGGTAATTTATGCACCTCAGGTATGGGAAGGTTTTCCCTGAGCACATTGTAAAATGGGGTCAAAATTTTGTCACTTGGAGCACTTAACTTTACAATAATGAGCACAAAATTTGGTCTGATGTAACGTTTGATTTTAGAATTCACTTCAAGACCAGGAAAGTCTCTGAAAATTTAGACTGGAGCCCCAAAGGAGCTCCAGCTTGTCAGAGGTGTAGACTCAAGGCGCATAACTTGGAGTCGAGTGGGACTCGGGTCACAAATTTGATGACGTTAGTTTCGACCTGACAAAATCAAAAAAGGCCTTCAACTCAACTTGACTTTAACATCACTGACTCGTGTCTTCACTTAGACTCAAGACTTAAATACTTAAAACCTTTCTCCAAGCCAAGGTTTGATTTGAAAAGTGTGCGATGAATCAGTTTATTTCCCTTTATTCTGAATCTGCTAACGTTAACATTAATCTTTTTATTTAGAATTTGAAATTAGAATTCAGTGGTCAAAGGTCAAAGGTTACTGTGACGTCACAAAACATGTTTTTGGTCAAAGCTCAAGAACTTATTTGTTAATTATGACAAAGTTTCACATAAATGTCGAACAGGATAAAATGATGAAGAGCTGACATTTTTTATCCAAAAGGTCAAAGGTCCTCTTAACGGTGACATCATAATATTCTGCAAAAACACTTTTATGGCCATTATTCAACACCATAACTCAGGAACAGAACACTGGTGACTCTAATCTTGTGTGTCCACCTTGAAACTGTGCTGATTGATGTGCTGCCGGGTTGATAACATGTGTGAAGCATCCATGGATGTAAACTGAAAGAGAAACCTGACTGGTTTGCGGAGGCACACAACTGCTTGTCACACTTGTATTAAGAAATAAAATCTAATTTCAAACCTTATTATTCGGTTGTTATAATGGCATTACATTTTGTGAAAAGCATGTTTAAAACTTGGAACTCAAAGTTGAGGGCTTTGGACTTGAGCACAAAGACTTGACTGACTTGTAACTTGCAAAACAATGACTCGTTACGGCCTCTGCAGCTTGTTAATGGCAACATTCAGTCAGCTTATACGATGAAAAAAAAACGCATGAACATGAACGTACATGTTTATATAATGGAGCCTCTGCACCATCACTTCCTGCAGGTGGTCCTGTCTTTGCTTGTCTGCCTTTGTTCAGCTCAACTGATTATTTAGCAGCACTTAATGAGCAGTGTCACTTTGCCGGCACCAGTTTTTCCTCTTTTAGTGTTAAAGCATATAGGCATTGAGACAGAGCTGTGTGTAGATAATTAAATTACAGATTAATAATACTAATGTCATTAATGGTATTAAATTAAAGTCTTTTATAAGCCCTCCTGTGATGAAGATCACATTATGTTCCTGCAGATTATCATTGTATAGAACAAGCTCCTGTAATTTGCCTAAAATGCTGCCTGGAATGATAGGTTTAATTACCAAGCAGCAGGGCAAATATTTAATTACTGACCTCCTCCTGTATTTTATATTATAGCATTGCACGCTGACATGTGATGCAGGAGCACCATTAAAACTGCAGTCGATCTCTCTGTTTCAATTCACTCATATTTAAGTATCTCTGTACCCTTTTAGAGCGTGCTCCTCATGCTGGGCTCCCCGGCATCGCCAAGGAAACGGCCCTTTGAGTTGCTAAGCGACCTGGTGGACGATGGTGGCTTCGGCGAGGACCTGCACCCGGAGCGCTGGGACGTGTCCGCGTTGGACGAGATGGCTCGCTACACCAAGCTGGGCCTCGGGGTGGGAGGGGAGCTGCTGGCCTGCTCTGAGGAAGCCGTCCTGATGGGCCGCTGGGGGAGGAGCCGGGAGGAGCAGGAGGAGGAAGAGGAGGAGGAGAGGAGGCGGAGGAACAAACACACAGCACCTCCCGTCATCCAGGAAGTCCAGGCCACTGCCGCAGGGAGGGAGGAGGGGCGCACCTCTGTTGCCACGACAACAGAGAGGGAGTTATGTGTTGCAGGAAGAGTGCCCGGAGGAGGACAGGATGGGGGGATGCCGGGGGAGCGCACAGTGGAGGTTTATCAGGTGGCACAGGAGGAAGAGGAGGTGGTGGCGGCGGCGGTGGCTGGTGCAGCTCTGGAGCACTGCAGCGAGGAGCACAACTACTCCCTGAGCCAGGGAGAGGAGCTGGGGGCAGGGCCCGGCCACAACTCCCAGACAGAGGGGGAGACACAGCAGGAGGTGCGGGGCAGGGAGGAGAGCCAGACCAAGACTGAGCTAGATCTGGAAGACGAAGAGCAGGAAGAAGAGGAGGAGGAGGAGGACGATGAAGAAGAGGAGGAGGAGGACGAAGGAGAGGAGGGAGCGGAGGAGACGGCGGTGGAGGCTGAACTCTCCAGCTCCTCAGAAACTGAATGTGGTGAGTTCTTCAGTTTGTCTGTATCCGAGGACACCTCGGCTCATCACGGCGCTGCCAGCAGCCCGTCTGCCCACACGGAAACCATTTTAATCTGTCTCAGGTCCAGACGCAACCTCAGACCGCCTGGTGCGACTTGGTTGGCTGAGCAGAGGCACATTAAATACCAAAGTTGCGGGTGTAATTCCCGGACACCATACCGCTTCAGTGGCTACAGTTTTACTGTTATGAAATGGCTTTGAGGGTTGGAGCCTCTTCATGTATACAAATACCATCTGTAGCCGCCACGCTGCTCTGTCTTTGTAAGGGGAGGGGATGCTTGTAGTCCAACATGTTAAATAGGGTATGAAAGTTGGTAGAGATTGTTAAACAAGCGTTACAGTAGAGCTGGAGTTTTAAGCAGCTTCAAAGGCAACACAAACATGCCAACTACAGACTGCAGCGTGCGGCTGGTGCCTCATTATTTCTTTATACCTCGCTTAGCTCTCATTCACAAATATTGTGGGTTCACAGCAGAACTAAAACAATCATCTGATTAGTTAAATCTGTAGCTATTTTGATATTTATTACATCATTTGATTTATTTTTTTTTTCAAATTGCCAAACATTTGCTTGTTTCTGCTTCACAGTAAACTGATTGTCTTTGGGATTTGGACTGTTGGTCTCACCAAACAAAACATTTGAAGTCCTCACTTTGAAGCAGGACTTTTTTTTCATGAATTGGAGCCCTGGGGCCTTATTACAGAAAAATATCCGAACCGCTTGACCTATCTTAACTTAATCCTCTCATGCTTTTTTTTTTTTACTTCTAAACAAGAGAAAAATCATGCCCATAATTTTTTTTAATTTTAGCTGTTCACTGGAGTGAACAATATCCATCAACAGCATAAAAAGTAATTAAGTGGAACTCAATATAGCTCCAAAAAACACATGTTTTTAAAACACTTAATTAAAGCCAATGGTGTGAATACATATACAAAAAATTAAATAACAACAAAACATATGTCTTTGGACCTAATTGTTTTTGCTCAAGGTCCCTTTTTTTGAAATTTAAAGCCACACAGAAGCAGTAAATCACAAAGACAATCAGGAAAATACAGTTAACCCAGTCAGTCAACAATCACTAATGTATACAAATGAATTCAGTGTGATGACAATCTAAGTGAGACATAAAATAAAATAAATAAATTAGAAAAGTGAAATAGAGAATTGGGAAACAAAACAAAAACATAAAAATAATACATGAATTATCATTTAAAAAAATGAGTAAAAAAAATGACCAAAAATACGTAAACTACATATAATATGAAGTCAGTATTACAGGACTCTTTTATAGAATAGTAAATTTTCTACAATGTCACATATACGAGGTCTTTAATCCACAGGTTGTAGGTTGGAGGAAGTTCGTCCTCACATTTAGGCAGTACAAATTGTTGAGCTAAAAGAGATGCAAAATCTATCATAAATTTTTTAAGATTATCCTTTTGGCTTTTTGTCTTTATTGGATAGGACAGTCCAAGCATGAGGGGGAGAGAGTAAGGGTGATATGCAGCAAAGGGCTTCAGGCAGGCCGCTGCAGCAAGGGCGTTGCCTTCATATATGGGACGCCTGCTCTCCCCACTAAGCCACCAGGCACCCCACAAAAGCTATCTTTTTTTTTTGCCTGACAACTAAGATGTTCATGTTGAGTTACTCCAAATACTGCAGTAGTAGCAGATGGTTCTGTGGGTACTTCTGAAACATCCAATTTTTTTTGGTCTATATTGAGTTCCACCGAATCACTTTTATACCACTGACGCATGGTGTCCTCTGCAGTGGACAGATTCAGATTTTATTATTTTTTTCTGGTGTAGTTTTTTCTTACATCTGACTTAGTTGAAAAATATAGATTTTATTTTTTGCCTGTTTGGCTTTCTGAGAATAAAAGGATGTAACAGTTCTTCCTGAGGTACCTGGTGCAGCTTCTCTTCCCTCTGCTATTTTGAATTTATGATGCAGTATCTCAAAATGGTAAAGAAATACGAAGATAATAGTCAAATGGAATTGTAGACAGCTCTTGGGTGACTGGGACATGGTACTACAACTTCAGCAGTTCAAAATAGCTTCCTGATATCTGTTCATAGCTGTGGACACTGTGCATGAAAGGGTTAAGTTGCAGAGAAAGCAAAAATCCTTTCTTTCTGTTACAGATGCAATTCCTAAAATCCACTTCTTTCTCAGACCTCCTATCATATCTCAAGAAATCTTAATTCTAAGTGTAAATTCAATACTTGAATCAGCACTCGTCCTGTCAGGCCTGTATCTATATTTAGAATGTGCACAGACTGCCTTTATCTTACAGTTGAATGTACCAGTAGGCTACTTGAGATGGACAAGTCATATCAGCAGCTCTCACTTGTCACTGGCTAGCATGCTGTCATGGACAAAAAAAGACGGCATTTAATTTTAGTAACAAGGTGTCGAAGGCGCTTATCGTGTTGGTGGAGGAGAGGAAACCCTGCCTTTCATTGGGAAGTTTTCTTCTCGGTTATTTGAATTTATTTTAATCAATCAATTAATTAATTTGGATGACTTATTGAAATTTAAAACATCAATATACAGTGTGAGGAGCCTTTCAGTCGTTATATTTTGATGTTCATGTTGTTCCCTGACTACATTGTCATTACCATGCAGACCTTAAAACAGTGCTGCTGCTTATTTTGAAGTTAGTACAGGGTCTGTGCCATGATCGGGATATCTCGAAGTTAGGATAGTTCTGTAATAGCTGAATTCCTAACATAAGACAGGATTTTTCCTAAATGCACTTTAGAGACATGTTTCTGCAATACCAAAGATCCTACATGTCCCAAACTGAGATAAGAAAGGATTTCAGACAGACCTCTGGAACACAGTGTCATCCTGATGCTGTAGCTTTGACCTTTGACCTCCCTGATTACTGTGCATTCACATCCTGCAAGGAAGAAGCCAGATCTAGATGATGATGACAGCTAAACAAACACAGACTGACTTATTGACTTTATGCCTTCAATCCTAGAGAGACATTTGTTACACAGCCTGCACATGTACACACGTCCCACATGAAAAAACATATTGGTGAATTTTATTCACACAGTATACATGTTGTATATGCAGATATAACTCCTATATACCCATACATACAGTATTCAGATCCTGTCTAACTTCCAGTTGAATTCAATTTCAAATAAACAAACTGAACATGTAATAAAAAGGATTTAAGTTTGACTAATGAGGTCAGCAACATTGAGTCATTCTGTAACCTAAAAACTCTCGTAACATCTGCCGTTCTAAATGTATCACTAGTGTTATGGTGGAGGATATACGCAGGTATGTGAGGTATACCCACTTCTTTATCTTACTCTATCCTTTTACAGTTTACCCACCTACCAGCCAAAAAGCCATTTTAATATACAGGAGAGAGCACCCACTTCCTCCTTGGTAACCTAGCAGTACGCCGACTTCATCAGCTACCACTACATCACTGTGTGTCACCCACATTAGCAGCATATTAATGTGACTTTAAAGGTGCTCTGTGCAAAACTGAGAGTGTATGAGCTGTAAAGGCGTCCTTTAACGTCGGCATGATACACGGCTGGTTGCTGTTATAGTTTAACGGTGCCCGGCAGCATCAGGGGGAAACGCAGTGGGACAAGGATGACAGTTAGGGCGGCGAATGTCAGAGTAGGGACGGTGGGAGGGGTGGTGGATGGGTCCAACAAACAACGACTGTCACCCGAGAGAGAGGTGTTTGCATCCCGTAAGATTCTGAAGCCAGACCCTGTTCTTTTTCCCTAAACCCAACCACGTGTGTTTGTTGTTGAAGAACAAAAAAATTGTGGTGCTGTACCGACTTAATGCTTTTATTTTGAAAGAAACTGTAAACATAAACGCTAAATTTCCCGTGAAAGCGGACGCGTATCTTGAAAGAAGACAATGCACGTAACAGGCTGAACTTGACGCAGCGTCCCAGAACGTCAGCAACCAATGTCGTATGTAGTCGTGGAAAGTCCATGACCAAGCATGTGAATATGTGACAAGGTTGGAGTGAGAATGTGTAGGTTGTCTGCACACGGTTCTCAACATGGAGGTGGCTGAAGTAGCAGCCAGTGGTGCTAACTCCATAAACAGCGCTAAACTGCAGCAACAGTGCTGACAGAGCTTGCGGTGTTAACTGGGGGGAACAGGATTTGCATTTCCTAGTATAGCGAGGGCATGACCCGCCCTACTCTGCCTTACTGTGCCTCTGACCACCTTAAATCAATCCCACGCCTCTTGCCAAAACCTAGACTCACAAGTTTAGACACTTTGCTTAACTAAAGACTGATGTCTTTCTCCCTGATTTTGTGTTTAGATGGGCAGATACAATTTCAGAGTTTAAAAAACTCTCTACGTTGCAGAACCAATAGTAAATCTGCAGGGCGGTCCTTCGGTGGCTCGCTGAACTCTTGTGCTCGTAAACATAGTCCGACTGCGTGAAAACAAAGTCGCTGTAAGTCCTTCATTTCCACAATCCTGTGGACTGAGCACACGTTTGATAAAACAGAGTTAAATCTCTCGGCATCCATTTTCAAGCTCTCTGTGTGTTTGTTTCCTTGATGACGAGAAAAGGGGGAGCGCACATTTCCGGGAGGGCGTGTCCTTTTCAAAAATGCAAGAGGCGTTGCTTTGTTGCCGGCCGTTTTCTCCGGTGTGTTAAACACACTTTAGAAAGGAGTGTCCCCAGACTATCAGAAGGCAGAGATCTCTGATTGTCTGGTGGCGAGACTAGCCGAAACCTAATCAACTTAACCAAGGAAGGCAATGGGTACTTGCCAGTCACAGGGAGAAACGCAGAATGGAGGGTGCGCACTTGTGACACTGCCGTCCAGATATCAGTGGTGGCGATGAGCTGGCCAGTGAAATAAAAAGTGACACGCGCACATAGCCAGACAAGCTTACCTCAACAAACCACATAGAAGTTCGGATTACAACACACACACAGGTTT